CACTCGATAAATTGAAGCCTCGCGTGTGCGAACTCGATTAAAATACCAGGCTCGTCGACAAGTATACTCGGATGTTTCAGCGTCTAATTAAGCCGCACATAACGTGGACATTGTCGAGTTCGATACATTTGAAAATGTCGTGGCGCTATATTCGACTTATTAAAGTGACTAAAAAGAGGAAATACGTTTACATTGAAAATTCTTGTTCTTTGTAATTGCTTGAAAAAATCTCTATTCCGCAGAAAGATCCTCTAATTAAAAATTGCCAGTGCGAAAATGAGAACTTTTCAGAAGAGATGACGTTATCTCGGTTTCTTCCTTTGGAAAGCAGACTATAGGGGCGTTTTCCGAGAGCGCGCGCTCCCTCTCTCTTTCTCTCCGCTATATCTTTCCTGAGCGAACCAATTGCCGGCTCAAGGTTAGTGGGCGGAGCGTTCCCGGCTCCCCGCCCTCGATTCCTCCGAGAAGTGGGGGAAACAGCCTTGAGCAATCAATCGAGCTCGAGCAGTACAGATCCAGAGGGACGCGAGCTAGACTCTCCAAGAAGCTGGATCTCGATCGAAGGATCGCTGGAAGTAGATCGGGAAAAGAAAACGGGAGTGCTTCGGTGAGAAGATTCTTTGATAGATCGTCGCTGTTAGAGATCGAATGGAACGCGGCTTTCTCTCTCTCTCTCTCTCTCTCTCTCTCTCGCTCGCTCGCTCGCTCGCGGGTTAACAACGACAAACTGGCAGTGCTGACGCAAACTGTTTTTCTGTTTTCAAATTTTTTTTTCTTCTTTTCGTTTAGGGGAAGAACTACGACCGGTAGAGTCTTCTTTAGAATGAGATACGCTGTAAACGTGGCACGTGCGAACGATATTAGTTAGGTTATTAGGTTTCTTCGTCTCGTTTGTTCTGTTTTCGACGTTGCCGAGCACACGCCTAAACACGCCTGGAAAACTGATGTCTCTGTACAGATGGGGCGGCTCGTCGTCATTCCGCGCCGATGTCCTTTCGGCTGGTCGAAGTTAGGCGACCCGGTCCCGGAGTTCGGGCATTTCGAACGTTTACAATAGCGTCGCCGCAGTCGCGTCGACGTTCGATCGGTCGATCGTTTTTCTCGTTGGATCGTTAGAGATCGGTCCTTGGCTCGCGAGGGTNGGAGTTCGGGCATTTCGAACGTTTACAATAGCGTCGCCGCAGTCGCGTCGACGTTCGATCGGTCGATCGTTTTTCTCGTTGGATCGTTAGAGATCGGTCCTTGGCTCGCGAGGGTTCGTCTGTTCGGCCCTCAAGTTGCTGGCAAAGACAGTTTCGCAATCGTCAATTAGGAATGACAATCTGTGGAACGGCGTACCGTTTGCTTCGCCTCCACTTTTATTGTTATTTCATTTTAACGAACCGAGGGCGATTCGAGCTCGAAAATGGCCCAACTCGAGACCAGATCGTCGCAGAATGGGGGAACCGCCTAATTTCGGTGTTCGACTATGGGACCCTGCGATCGACGCCCGATATCCTTCGCTTCGATCGGCTCCGGCTTTCTCGAATCCGAGCGTATCCTGCGCCGTTCTCTGATCGAACTTTCGAACTTTGTAAAATAGAGCTGAAAATCGGGTCGGAACGCTAGCGAGAAATTCCGAGAGAAACTACTAAACTCTGCCCTATACGATCCCTCTGAAATCCCCTCACCGTCTGTCCCGAATTAAAACTCGCCGAAAAGATTAAACCATCGTCCGCGACGATTGCCGAGCGTGCAACGAAGATTACGGTCGCTTTCATCGAAAGAACTAATTGAAAGATTGAATAATCGCTGCTAACTGGAAGTTATCCGAGCTTCGACGGCTTAATTGTTCCGCGGAGGATCACGGGAGTGGATCGCAGGGTCCCCGGACTCGCTAAATTGATCTAATCTCGTGGATCGTGCCCCGTACTATCGATTACTCGCGCCGAACCGTTGCAATCCCGGTTGCATCGTATGCATATCGTCTACGCTAAAGTGTTTTACGACTAAATGTTGAACCGACACGCGTGTCGCCGCCGTAGAAATCAATATATTAAGNAAATTCTTGTTCTTTGTAATTGCTTGAAAAAATCTCTATTCCGCAGAAAGATCCTCTAATTAAAAATTGCCAGTGCGAAAATGAGAACTTTTCAGAAGAGATGACGTTATCTCGGTTTCTTCCTTTGGAAAGCAGACTATAGGGGCGTTTTCCGAGAGCGCGCGCTCCCTCTCTCTTTCTCTCCGCTATATCTTTCCTGAGCGAACCAATTGCCGGCTCAAGGTTAGTGGGCGGAGCGTTCCCGGCTCCCCGCCCTCGATTCCTCCGAGAAGTGGGGGAAACAGCCTTGAGCAATCAATCGAGCTCGAGCAGTACAGATCCAGAGGGACGCGAGCTAGACTCTCCAAGAAGCTGGATCTCGATCGAAGGATCGCTGGAAGTAGATCGGGAAAAGAAAACGGGAGTGCTTCGGTGAGAAGATTCTTTGATAGATCGTCGCTGTTAGAGATCGAATGGAACGCGGCTTTCTCTCTCTCTCTCTCTCTCTCTCTCTCTCGCTCGCTCGCTCGCTCGCGGGTTAACAACGACAAACTGGCAGTGCTGACGCAAACTGTTTTTCTGTTTTCAAATTTTTTTTTCTTCTTTTCGTTTAGGGGAAGAACTACGACCGGTAGAGTCTTCTTTAGAATGAGATACGCTGTAAACGTGGCACGTGCGAACGATATTAGTTAGGTTATTAGGTTTCTTCGTCTCGTTTGTTCTGTTTTCGACGTTGCCGAGCACACGCCTAAACACGCCTGGAAAACTGATGTCTCTGTACAGATGGGGCGGCTCGTCGTCATTCCGCGCCGATGTCCTTTCGGCTGGTCGAAGTTAGGCGACCCGGTCCCGGAGTTCGGGCATTTCGAACGTTTACAATAGCGTCGCCGCAGTCGCGTCGACGTTCGATCGGTCGATCGTTTTTCTCGTTGGATCGTTAGAGATCGGTCCTTGGCTCGCGAGGGTTCGTCTGTTCGGCCCTCAAGTTGCTGGCAAAGACAGTTTCGCAATCGTCAATTAGGAATGACAATCTGTGGAACGGCGTACCGTTTGCTTCGCCTCCACTTTTATTGTTATTTCATTTTAACGAACCGAGGGCGATTCGAGCTCGAAAATGGCCCAACTCGAGACCAGATCGTCGCAGAATGGGGGAACCGCCTAATTTCGGTGTTCGACTATGGGACCCTGCGATCGACGCCCGATATCCTTCGCTTCGATCGGCTCCGGCTTTCTCGAATCCGAGCGTATCCTGCGCCGTTCTCTGATCGAACTTTCGAACTTTGTAAAATAGAGCTGAAAATCGGGTCGGAACGCTAGCGAGAAATTCCGAGAGAAACTACTAAACTCTGCCCTATACGATCCCTCTGAAATCCCCTCACCGTCTGTCCCGAATTAAAACTCGCCGAAAAGATTAAACCATCGTCCGCGACGATTGCCGAGCGTGCAACGAAGATTACGGTCGCTTTCATCGAAAGAACTAATTGAAAGATTGAATAATCGCTGCTAACTGGAAGTTATCCGAGCTTCGACGGCTTAATTGTTCCGCGGAGGATCACGGGAGTGGATCGCAGGGTCCCCGGACTCGCTAAATTGATCTAATCTCGTGGATCGTGCCCCGTACTATCGATTACTCGCGCCGAACCGTTGCAATCCCGGTTGCATCGTATGCATATCGTCTACGCTAAAGTGTTTTACGACTAAATGTTGAACCGACACGCGTGTCGCCGCCGTAGAAATCAATATATTAAGGCCTCTTAGTTGCTAACGACAGGTCGCCTCGCGTATCTTCCAAATTAGACATTTCTCATTTTTCGTTTCTCTTCCCTTTTTTTTCGCTCTCCACCGACGACGAATGTTTCTCATCGCGACGTCGTCCTCCGTCGCGAATCACGCGCTGCACAAATCGTTCCGCTGCGCGCGCGGAAATCGACGACCGATCCGCCGGATCGACGTGGATCGATGATCGAGGAAGACTCGCGTGCCCCCTTCTCCCTCTTGCCCCGATTCTTGGCCGCCGCGAATCGATCGGAAATCGTACCGAATCTCGGAGAGACAGACTGCGATGCTCGATATTGTAATTGCGTCGTCGCTTTTTGATCTGCGATTTGTAATTTTAAGGGGTAGTTTTTGAGGGTAGAACGTTCGAATGTTCGGCAGAATTGTAGACCTTGAGCTTGCGATTTCGTCGTGCTTCGTGCCAATTAGAGCTTGGATCTGTTTTGTTGGCGAATCAACGATTTTACCTGGTATAATTATTTGTGCCTAGTCTTTTTATTACTTACGCTAGATATTTCATTTGAATTTTAATGAACGAAAATTTCGCACTGCTCGACTTTTCTCTTGAAATCTTCGTCGATTCGCAATACAGATACAGTCGAAACGTTTCGTCGATTTACGTCAGGGTAGTCGAATTAATTGAATGCCCGCGGTCTATCGTTTTCGGATATCGTTTGCTCGTCGAATCACCAGGACCCCGTCCACGGTGTACCTTCGATAACACGAGAACGAGCCTGTAATTTCAACGTTTCGCTTCGAATCTCGTCGAAAGATGCTTCGGATCGCGCGAGATCTGTCTCTCCGAAAGCCGTGAACCAAGGAAACCGCGAAAGGAAAGATCGCCGCGCGAGAAACCTGAAAGAAACACGGGGGGAAGCATAACAAAAACAAAGAAAAAAAAATAATCGAAAGAAAGAGAAGAAAGAAACAGCTTTTGGGAAGGGTGTGAGGTGACGGTAAATGATGGTGCCAGTGACCGGAGACAAGAGAACCACTGGTTTTCCAGTCGTTTTCACAACGCGATCTCTCCTCTTTCTCTCGCACGTTTGTTGTCTCTTTACATTTCTCTCTCTCTCTCTCTCTTTCTCTCTCTCTCTCTCTTCCTCTCTCCCACTCGGTCGTTTTCCGCAGCGCAACTTTTATTGTTTCGGTGGAACCCGTGCCAGCCACTTTCCATTAATGAAGGCATATTCGCTAGTGTTTCGAGTATACGTGGAGTTTTTTATTTTTTTTTCTCTTTTGTTTAATTGTCGCTTAATTACTCATTATCTATAAACGTAGGTACCTTACACGACTTAATGCATTATCACCTAGCCTCCAGTTATTATTCACTTACAGTCCCGTCGGTACACGTCGACGGGAACAAACAAAACCGTCGTACATGCACACGCGGACGCATTCGCGCGCGCGAGTGCGTTCGCTCGCGAAAACGTGAACGTACGTCGAAGGAAAAAAAGAAATGCTCGCGTACACACGCTCGTACGCGTCCTCTCCAAAAGTGCTCGTCACGTTTTCGATTTTTCCTCTCTTTCTCGCATTAGCTTTCTCCGTTCGAGAAACAGCTCTCGTTGCATACACACGCCGCATAGGACAAACACACGTATACTCGCACACGCTCTCTCTCTTTTTCTCTCTCTTTCTCTCTCTTTCGTTCTCAGTGTGTACGCGCATCGTTAAATTACCAACTGACCAGCTACAAATGAGTCTATGTATTTACAAGTTTCGCCTCGCGTTAAGTAATCGTCTACGTGTTACCTCGATCTTTTGTTTTTACTCTCAGTTTTAATAGGAAACATTAATCACACGTACTCGATCGATCATCGACGCTACATTTCTCTCTTTCTTTCATTCTCTCTCTATCTCTCTCTTCCTTTCTCTCTCACATGCACGCACTCCTATCTACGTACTTCGTTTTCATTCCTCGCAATCCGCGGGGATTGATTAAACTGCGAATAATCGGCCGCGGAACTTCGACGATCCCCGTTCCAGACGATCGTTCCGGTTTTCATTCGGGAAAAAAAGAAAAAGAAACAGTCGAATTTGGATCTTATTTACAAGGCAGAACCGATCGATACATCTAGCATGGAAGAAGGACCGTTCAAAAAATAAAAAAGTTTCTCGAATCACGACGTAAAAATCTGGAAGTTCGACGATTAAAACGCGCACGATGTCTTTGATCCGATTTTTAAAAAATCGAATGCTCCTCGCGTGTACGATGCGCACGCGAGTGTCTAAAAAATACAAAGACATTCGTGTAAACGAATAAAAAAATTGTCACCCCTTGAAAGAAGATTAGTACAGGTAGCTCTGATTTTGCCTCTGACCGTTTAAGAAATTTTGATAATTGATTCGATCGGATATCAAGCATTCAACTCTGAACGATAAGAAAAACGGTACAACAATAATCGTGTACGTGGACTAAAAAATTTCAAGTGTTCGAAAGAAGCTAAAGAAGGAAGGCACGGCGATAGTCTTTACCGGTATTGGAATTTTCGCGAAGCGGAAGGAAAACCGATCGTCGAAGTTTGCCGCGCGAAAATTACAAAATCCTCGTCCCGGAACGATCGGACACGAGGGAAGAAACTGTAGCGGCGCGAGTTTCGCGAATCGCGCACTCGAGTCTCCATGAGTATATGCTAAAAGTTATGTACACGGTGGTCGCTCGATGACTTATTTACAAATGATGGGAGAAGCGGTCAACTACGCCGAGACGATGAAGGAACCGACTGCGGGACCGAAGGGTGAAAGAGCAAGCAACGGAGGACATCGAGGCGGAAGGGTGTTCTCGCCGAAAGAGTCTCGATGATCTGCGCGCGCGGGTGGATCCCGATTGGATCCTGGACACCGCGATCGATCGTCGCGCGTCGGGAGAACGATCGATCCTCGCCGCTCGACGTCCTCGGATCGAATCTTCGAAAGTGCTTCACGATATTCCGAGAAGGGAAAAGTCCGATCGGCTTCGTCTTTTTCCGCTCGACGAGTCGCTTACAAAAGTACTCGATAAAGGTATCGTTTAAACTAGGGACACGCTTCGAAGCCCGACAGATCGGTCGAGATCGAAGAACAACGAGCCGGTGTCTCGTTGTCGCGCGAAATGGTACAAAGGAAAGACGAAGAAAGAAGATTCGAGTCGCTGACCGACACCTGGGAGAACCCGGCGTCCTCTCGCGAGCTACTACTGGCTACCTAAGTTCCTTAAACTAAAATCACACTCGGAACGTAATTAACGGCGCCGCGCGTCCTTCGTTCGGCTCCGTGACGCGTCTCGATCGGGGCTCGACGATTGCTCTTGCAAACATTTACAAACGGTCCGATTCGTCGCGTCGCGAATAGATCGCGGTTGAATCGCGGCTCGTGGAAATTTCGAAAACAGAAGGAAATAACGTCTTTTTCCGTAACGCGAGGATCCGCGTCGAGATCGGACGGTCCAGGTTTCGATTTTATTTTATTCCAGCAACTGTTTCGTTACGAACCAAGATTTTCTACTATCGTCTATATTTCGGTTGAACGTTTTGGCTTTCGCGCCGATTTTCTCACTTGCGACGAAAAAAGGATATTTAACGGAACGAACGAGCCTGTTACACGTACAGAACGTAAAGACGCGTTTATAATGGAATTAGAGATCGGCGTTGTTAGAACGGTCCTCAAGCCCCGCGGTAAGAATACTATAATCGTAAACTATGATCTACTGGTAAAAATCGAAGATGGACGAACGACGTTGCGCAGAACGATCCTCGTCGTCGATCCTCGCGGGGGGGTTGGGGGAAAGATCGATTCGATCGGTAACGATCGATCCCGCTAAATAGAGAACGAAGCCGCGGCATCGTTTTCGCGACTCGTGATCGGAGAAACGAAGCTAAGCTTGCTATGTACAGACGATATCGGACAATTCGAACAATTCTCTCTCTCTCTCTCTCTCTCTCTCTCTCTCTCTCACTCTCTTTACATTCGAAGCGGACGTTCGCTTCCAGGTCGCGATCTGTCGGCAGTGCATTTTTCATTGGAATAGATCACGCGATCCAAGCGCGAGTGTCGAGAATCGGCGCGATTCTCGGGCTCCCTCGGGAAGAAGACGGCGAATATAACGATCTTCTTCGAGATGATGAAGACGAAGAAGCGTCGCTCCAGGTCCTCTTCGTTCGTCGAATATTATTCGCGGCGTCGACCGAGACGCTTCGCGGACGTCCGTCGATCGTACGGTTTTCATTTGCTCGGTTTCTCGATCCGAGAGCGACGCTTCGGTCCTTGGATCGCCTTCGAGGATCCATCGAGGATCCGTCGAGGTCGCCAGCCGACCGCCGATCGAACGATCTATGCGCGAAGCAGCGAGCGGTTGGCTGGTGAAGGAAGAAACTGTTGATTGGTCGGCTCCCGTTTGCTCCCGCGCAGCATTCGTTCCTCGTTGATTCGAGGATCCGGATTCTAGTCCCGGAGGATCCGATCGATCGCTGGATCCACCACGGTCGGATCGGTCGATCTTTGCCTCCTGGCTCTCGAGAAGGGACGAAATCTCCGTTCGCAGCTGGAAAGAAGCCTCCGGCGTTTTGACTTCTTGCGACCAAGGATACTTGCGCTGGCGACCGATCGGACCCAGCAATCCTCTTTTCAGCTCCGCGCGGGGTCCGGAATCTCCCGAGCAACAAAATGTAAGCTTCGCGACAGAATTCGTGTCGCGTACAGCAACGGCTCTTACATTTTATTCGACGAAGGACGAGGATTCCAAGTTCTTGATGACGCCGGTCGAAGGCGCAAGCCGCGTTTTCGAGGGCTCGTTTCAGGTCGGCCGAGGCTTCGAGGTCGCCGGAGATCTCTTCCGTTCGATCTCCTCCGGTCAGCTTCTTCTCCTTTCTTGGGCGAACCGACTCGGTCGTGTCTCGCGTCGCCAAACGGTCGCGCCAATTAAGAACGCTCGCGAACCGATTGTAAAAGCTAGGGTCGCGGGACACTGGCCGCAAAATGGGAGCAAGGGGCCTCTCGTTTAGCTCCTGATTCGATCTCGCGTTTTCCCCGGTCGTCGGTCGCATCGATTCGACGCTCTCTCGAACGCAAAATTTCGTCGACATCGAAACGCGTTCCGATTCGCGCTCTCGTGAAGATCCGCGCGTCGCGAGACGCAACGGGGAGAGAAATGTCCGCGTTAAATAAACTCTGCGAGAATTCCTTTCCCTTCCCGTCTCGGTCGCGACCTTTTACTGTGTTCGAGCCGATACCGTATCGTTAGATTAATTTCTGTCAGGGACGTTTCACCCCGAGTCGATCGATGATCAATTTTCTATCGGTTTATTTCGACAAGGTAAACGTTTTCCGCTTCTATTTATTGGTAAGCGCGAGATCTCTCAATGTTAATAAAACTTCAGAATATATACTGCCGCGTTCTCTTAAACGGATCGATTCGTTTATCATGATTCCAGCTGATCCTCGATTGATTAGAATTTCGACGACTTCCCCCCTCCCTCGGATCAAACTGCACCCACCCGCGCTGTCCAAGGATCGGCGCAAAAATGTGACTCGATTTAGCAAGATAGAAAAAACGAACATCTTCAAAGTCATTTTCGCTAAAAACGAAAACTACGCATAGAAACGTAAAATCTTAAGACAACATGGAATCGTAAAACCGCTCCGTTCTTTTACTCAAGTTCAAAGAATCTGATCGCCACTTGCTTTCTCGATAAATGTTACCTTAAAATCGCTACGAAGAATCTACGTTCGAACGAACGAATTAAAAAAAAAAGGAAAGAAACAGAAGGAAAATCAGCTAACGAGGAACGAACATATCCGTTCGGTTCCTCTTGGACAAATGGACTGTTTACCTCTTGTTGCAGCGCGATCGCAGAGATCACGGACAAACCTCGCCGCGATCGATTTCGCAGTCCCGAACACAATAGAAGGCTCTCTCGATCCCCGGACTCGAAGCTTTCGCGGGATTTTCGCGATCTCGGGGACGAAACGTAGGAACGATTCAGGCCAGCTTTCTCCCGTGAGGATCGATCGATCTCGCCGTTATGTGTCCGCGCGACCGTGTGTGTGTTCGGTACAAGTTATACATACAGGAAGTGTGTAAAATCTAAAAAGAAAAACAGTTTGGAAAGGAAAATAATAAACGACTGGCCCGTCTTTCCGACGCTCTCTCTTACAGACTACACGGTCTCCCTTTCTCTCGCATCTCTCTTTCACTCTCTCTCTCTCGCTCTCTTTCTCTCTCTCTCTCTCTCGCTCGCTGCAATCACCCTCGAAAGCTCTGATCGCCTGGCGCTTCCGCTGTTGCAGGTCGGCTGCTCTTCGAATCTTCGTAATTGGCTACTTCATCCATTCTTCCTAAATAAGACTCCTCTCTTCCTCTCTCTCTCTCTCTTCTCTCTCCCTCTCGCTCCCCCTCCATCTCTTTCGTATGTATACAACGGTATGTATAATATTTATGTATATATGTATAGAGATATCTATATACATACACGTCTATGTATATATATATCGGCTAGTCGAAAATGAGGCTACAGTGCTCAGCAGTCTATTGTCTCTCTTGGCTCTTCTCTCTCCGCGGCTTCTTCGCCTTTCGGCTCCTCTTCCGGTCCCCCGTCTTCCTCGTCGTCCAACTTCCGGGCCTCTCCTTCGCTTCCCCCTCCACCTTTCGTTCTCTTTATCCCTCTTCCCCGTTTCCTTTCTTTCTCTATACTTTACCATTTTACCAATACATTTCCCTCTCTCACTCTCTTTCTCTTTCTCTCCCTCTCCCTCTCCCTGTCTACAGTCTTTCTACCTCACCTCTCTCTCCATGTGTGTGTATATATGTATATATATTACATATATATATCTTTCTCTCTCCCTCCCACCCACTCTCCCTCCCGCTCTTCAGGCTGTCGGAAATCCTCTAAGTTTGCATCTTCGCATCTTCGCGTGACGCGAATATTCTCAGGTAGGCTGTGATAGTGATTTCGGACGAGGTTTTTATTCCCATTGGTGAGGAGAGGGTGGCAATTCCGAGGGATGAGCCACCGTGGAGCTGCAAGTCGTACGAAGAGATCATTAGAGGCTGATTATTTTTGTTGCGGGGAAATTTGTTCTTTGGTATACTTTTTTTTTTTATATACTTTTTTTTTGCTTTGTTTTCTGTTCTATCTAAACGCTCTTGTCATTCTTTACGGTTTGTCAAAGACCCGGGTATATATAATATATGTATATAAAATGGCTACGCTTTCGAGCCTCCGACGCCGTCTTTAGGACTCGGGGGACCCAGTAAAGTCGCTGTTTTTTTGTTTTTTTATTGTTTTCATTTCACGTTCTTCGATACCTCGATACGATTCAAACCATTCGAGACGTTCTTCCAAATTGTTCCGTCGCTGTTCTTTGGTCCGTTCGGTCGGTGCGGATTACTGGGTCCAGCGGTCCTCCGGCGGGATCCTCGAGCCAAGGTCAACGGGGTGTCTCCGCCGAACGAATCCCGAAGGTCGCGGATTCAAGGCGATTCCTGACGTCGGTGGATTCCTGACGTTGATCCGTTGGCTCGACGAACCGGCTCGGAGGCTCGAACACTAAAAGAAACTGTACACGACGAAAGTGCAATGTGCTCCTCGCTATCGGACAGGCTTTCTTTCCGTGGACGAGCTTTGCAAAGCGTTTGCCTCGGCACTTCGAGTTCCGCCGGCTAAACAATCCAGGAGTGGGGGCAGGGGCGGGGCTCTGATACGCAGGGCTGGGTAAAATAGTGTTTGAAACAGTCGTCCATTTTCGAAATCGAAAGCTTCCCAACATTCTCGAATCTAGAGGCACGAACCGAGTCTTGAAACATTCTAGTCTACGTTAACGTATTGCAACAAATTTGATGAAAAACAATCGAATAGATGTAGAATGTCCTTGGTCCGGAGATAATTACAATGTCTAATTTTACGATTAATTTGTTCTCTCATTTGTATCTCTCCTTTATAATTGAATGAATTAAAAACATTTAACAATTAAATCGTTTATTCTGCTCATTTGGAAAACACGTACGTCTTAAAAAACGCGCGTCGAACGAAAGCATTTCAATTACTATTTTCGATACAGTTCGACGTGTACCCAGCTCTGACGGCGCTACATCTCGAGTGCGTCGAATTGCAATCGAATGCGAATGAGACGGGGCTGTGGAGGAGAGTAGGCGTGGCGATGGGCGGGGCAACAGACAAAAGCAACTGAATATCGCAAACCGGACGGGATACAGACACGTGTGCATAGGGTCCATGAACGAGCAACCAACTGGGACCAGGCGGAGTCAATGTCGTTGGCGGAGGAGCCTCGGCCAAGAGGCGGGGTGTATTGGAGATTCCTACGGGATTGGCAGACTAATGGGGTGAACGATCGATCGCCGTGGCTCGATCGGTAGCTCTACCGGGTGTCCGATCGTTGACTAACGTCGAGAACGAAGTCGATCGGCCGTTCGAGCTCAAGGTGGGAGGAGTCGGAGCGGCCCACCGCGACTCCGGGCCACGCCCACGCCCACGCGGTCCCTCCCTCGCACCTTGCAATACCTTGGGGAGAGGGGGCAGCGGCCTCGATCGGCCGATCGAATTCGACGGGCAAGCGAGTCGTTGTAGAATCAGGTTCCAAGCTACTAAGTGTGTCTACCGTCGCGCGGACGTTTCGATTCTCGAGCGAGGAAACGCTCTGCGTTCTCGTGACGATCGATTCGAAGAGCCGCGCGTACGTCTCCCGGTTGTCGGATCGAGTGAAACTAAGAACCAGAGAATCGTTTCTGACGTGAAATCGTTTCGAACTCGTTCTTCTTCCCACCAGACGGCCCGAGGAGCGCGCGCGCGTCGACTCTTCGAATGCTACGTTGCCGGAAGGGGTCGTGACCGACAGGTCTGGAGCTGAACAAAAACAAGAAAAACGCTTCGTCTGATTTCCATGCAGCTGTCAGCGTCGGTGACAGCCGACTCGGTGCATCTTCAGTTCGCGCGCTGCGCGTTCGTCGCGTCTCTCTTTCGGTTCTCCTCGCCGTCCCACCTCCGCCGGCGCGTCGCCCGCCCGGCCACCTTCTCTCGCGAGATACTTTCTCCGGCAAGTTCGCGAGAAAAATCGTGCTCCGGCGGAAATAGAGCGAAACCGGTCGAAAAAACGGCGCGCTCCCCACTCCCTCGCGGTCCCGCCCGACCGCCGCGCTGGCCCCGCCCCCACGCACCGCCCCCGGACCCTCGACATTATTTCGGGACTTCGAGAGACCGCCGCGACCGAGACAAAAAGGGCCGCGCGAGTCGTTAGCCCCTTCGGTTAATTTAAACGCGCGCGCGGGAATTCCTCCGCGCCCGCGCCCTCTTTTCGCGGATTCGCGGCCCCGGAGACAAGGAAGAAATAGAAGATAAATATGGAAGATCAAAGGGGATCGGAGGGGGGCTGGACGCGTCTGTCCCGAGCTCGCGATATTTTCGAAATAAGGGGTGGCGTTGCGAAAGGGTTGCAGCGGCGTGCTAATTCTGGGAACCGAGGGCCCGACGCGAGATCCTCCCGGACAAAACTCCGCGGCGGTTCGGGTGTCCCGAGAGCGAACTATGCGAGTCACGTTTTCGGCGATGCAAGTTCAAGGTCTGAAGGCCAGCGGTTCTCAATTTATTCCGGCCGACCGGAGCAACGACCTCTTCTCGTTTCGCACGACATCGACGTTCGTCACGTTTCGCCGTTTCGTTTCGGTCGCGTGTATATCTCACCGAAAATCGTTTCGATGATCGAACGATCTCGGCTACGTCATCTTTCGTCGCGAAATACTCGGCGATCTCGAGGGCAGCGTCGAAACGGAAAGCGCGTGACGCGAAATTTTGCTGCTCGCCCGGGAGCGTTTTGTGCCTCGATCTTTGACGGGGAACTCGTGTTCCCGTGGTATCGGGGTGGCGCCCACCCGACGGGACTGGCCAAGGAAAGGAGCCAATAACGGGCTCGCTCTTATCGGACCTCGTAGTCGCGTCGCGGCCCTCCGCAAACGAGCAAACTTTTTCCGGCGCGGCGACGAGGGGCGTCGGATAGGCGCGGGGGCTCGAATTTCCGGGTCACCGAAGATTTTCCCGGCCTCGGTTGCGCGCGCTCGGCAAAGCAAATCCGACGATCGCGAAATTCCCACCGAAAAGCCCCGAGGTGCCGCGGAGGCGCGAGAATGACGGCGGCCTGCTTTGCAAGCCGTGGTCGAAAAACCGCGACCCGGCGCGAGACGGAGCGGAGCGGAGCGACGGCAGTCGTCGTCTCCCCGGGCAAAAATCATTCTCGCCGAGCCTACTCTCTTCTGTGCCGGCGGTAATATCGTCTACCATTGTACCGTACAACCTTCGCAGGACCAACGAAAAAGCTTTGGACAGAGACAAAAACAGACAGATGGTGGCGTACGAACAGAAATGAAAAATAATCTGGAAGGTCTTCGATGGCGGTAGGGGCGGCGGGGGGAAATGAATCCGATAGAAATGGACGATCGAACGTGTCCCGGTTCCGCAGGAGAAAAACCCACGGTCCTTTCGCCTCGCAATCTCCTCGATCTCCGGGACGATCCGGCAGAAAAATCGCGTCGAAAAAGCGAGGGGAGGGCCGTTGACGGATTACGTTTCTTCTTAGCGAATGATCGCGGTTATTGTGCCAGCGGGAACGTCCAATCGCGGTGGAAGGTCGTTTCGGTGGATGGACGGGGTCCAGGAGAGCGCGGTAGACCTCGCTAGTTCATCGACAAATTTCATTTTCGCGACTTTTAGTAACTTTTCGCTTCGTCCATTGAAACGCAAGCAGCTAAATTGCTGAATACTTACTAGTAGCTCGAGCATTTTTACGCTGTTATAGGATGTATAATTTTATTAAAATCGGGACGTTGTACTTTTAAAACGTATGCAAAACCAAGCTTGACATATTTCGCGCAACTCGTTTTTCGAGGCGGATAAGAAGACGCTTCAAATCGTTAACGACAATAGCGACAAATTCGAGATATTTTTGCACCCGATGTCACAAAATGCAACGCGAGCTCGCACGAATTAGTTCGTCTAAATCGCTGATTCGCGGATCCTGTATTATATTAACATTAGTTCTGTATTGTAAGAAATAGGCTTTTATCCGTATAAAGAAATAACTTCGATTAAATGAAGCTCGTTCGTTAGCGACAACTACCGAGGTTCTTTCTGTATTATATTAACATCAGCTTTCGGTGTTCCGTATTGTAAGAAACGTGTTTCTACCCGTACGAAGAAATAAGTTCGATTAAATTCGATTAAAAGAAGCTCGCTCGTTAGCGAGCGCGCGACAACTACCGAGGTTCTACCGCGGCGTGGGCGTCGGGGCAATTTCCCAGGGGTCACGGCGATCTACGGCCCCGAAAGAGAGCAGGTGCGCGTCCTTTCGCCTATCGATCGTGTATCGACGAATCGGGCCGCGGTCGCGGACGGTCTCGCGTTCCATCCGAACCCGTTCCCTCTCGGCTGAAGGCTGCATGGTTGATCAGGCCCTCGTACACTCGTCGTGACGACCAAAGTGCTCTGCTCAGGCGTTCGTCCAGCATTATTTACATGTACCACTTTCACAGAGAGACTCGTATAAGCTACTTACACGCGCGCCAGCGTTCACTCGCGCGCACTCGCGGGGCTGTCTCTCGCTCTTCGCCGAGAGACATCGAAACGCGAACGGATCTCACGGGCATCCTCGAAGGTGTCCACACAGTCCGGATTCCTTCGATCCTCGAAGAAGGACGTTTTCTCGATCTTAATCCCCGGGCTGTTGATTGCTCGAGGAACACCGAGCTCGAAGTCCGCCGCGCCGCGTTTAGTCGCGCGCGTTATTACTTATTACCAGGCTAAAGACTCCGTTAATCGCCTGCAGCGCGAAATCGGCGCTAATTAGCCGCCGCGCTCGTCTTGGAAACGATGGATGCTACCGTTTCGAAAGCGGCTCCCCGTTCTCCCGATTCCGCGGCGCCCGATTTTCCGACGTTCGATCGACGCTGTTTCGCGAAGGAACACACGCTCTCGATCGCTTTGAAATAGTTTCGCGCGCGAAGAAATATTTGAA